CTTGGCAACTTTAAGACTCCCTCTGGGAGTTGAAGTCCACAGGTCTTAAAGTTGCCAAGGTTGGAGACCACTGTTCTAATCCAACCCCCTGCTGAAGCATTCCAGACAATGGCTGTTCAGTCTCTTCCTAAAAGCCTCCAGTGATGAAGCACCCACAATCCCTAAAGGCAAGCCATTCCACTGGTTAATTGTTCTCATTCTTAGGAAATTTAACCTTAGTTCTAGGTTGCTTCTCACCCTGATTAGTTTCCATCCATTGTTTATTGTCTTACCTTCTGGTGTTTTGGAAAATAGATTGAACCCCTTTTCTTTGTGGGAGCCTCTGAAATATTAGAGCAATGCTATCATGTCACCCCTACTCCTTCTTTTCACTAGATTTGACGTACCTGAGTCTTGCAACTGTTCTTCATATGTTTTAGCCTCCAGCCCTCTAACTATCTTTGTTGCTCTTTTACTGAACAAACATTTACTGTAATGGAATGTGAAAATGGCCTTGGGAGATGGAGCAATGAGATGCTGTCTAGGGAATTGTCAAATAAGAGGAAACATAGCATAATGGGCATAGGAAGAAGCTCAGGGGGATTCTCCCTAAATTATCAGATTGTAAAGCTAATAGCAGAAGAATTGTACTTTCAGATTTTCAAATTTTGTTAATGTAGGTTTACAATAAGGCACAATTAAGCTTATCTGACCATTGGTCAAGAGAAAGGTATGGTTGCAATTGACAGGTTTATTAAGAAATTTAAGGAACAAAAGACAAGGTATAAGGCAGAGGAAGGACATGGCAAAAGTCAGGATGGTTCGCAAATATAGAGATGCATAGTTGCATAGGTGCAAATTAGACTTAACTATATTTATTTTCATTTTTCTTATCTCATGTCTTTAACATTTTAATTTCTTACTCCTTCTCTGTACTTGGCATGAAATTGCTTACTCTTAAAAAGAAGTAGTAGCACAATGGATATGTGTGTGCTTGCTAATTCCCAAATAAATCTCTCAATGTCCTGCAATCTTTAGTATCAGAAAAATGAGAAGGGAAAATAGGACACAGCAGAAAAAAAACATACTGGAAATACAAAGACAACATTTAGAAGCACTATCTCCCATAGTAATGGCAATTAGTCTTAAAATCATACCTTTGGGGGAAGTCCATTCTGTGGTATTTTTTATCCTATCCCAAGATCTCTTGCTTGCGTCTTTCTCCAACTTATCATAATATTCTATAATATAACCATTTATTTCAGAATCTGTTGAATCCCATTTCAAAACCAATTCCTCTTTAAAAACAGAAGCCTTCAGACGAGTAATTCTTTCTTGTTCTACAAGAATAATTGTCAAAGTTAACTAGGTAGAGTAAATGACAGCAATTAAAGCAATGATTGTTAGCTGGCAATGCATGGCAGTGCTAAGTCCTTGACTCACGACCACAATTGAGCCCAAAATTTCTGTTGCTAAGTGAAACATTTGCTAAGTGAATTTTGCCCCATTTTACACCCTTTCTTGCCACAGTTGTTAAGTGAATCACTGCAGTTGTTAAGGTAGTAACATAGTTTCTTAAGTGAATCTGGCTTCCCCATTGACTTTGCTTGTCAGAAAGTCAGAAAAGGTGATCCCATGACTCCCAGACAGTGTAACCGTCATAAATATGAGTCAGTTGCCAAGTGTCTGAATTTTGATCACATGTCCATGGGGATGTTACAACAGTTGTAAGTGTGAAAAATGGTCATAACTCACTTTTTTCACTGCCGTTATAACAATGAATAGTCACTAAATGAATTGTTGTAAGCCGAAGACTACCTGTACCTATTATCACTACAAGATGCAATAAATAAACAGTAAGAGTGAAATGTTCCAATTAGAGAGTGAGAAATGTTCCAATTACAGAACAACAATGAGGTGATTACAGCATCTCACTGAGACCTTTCTCTAAATGCTCAAGACTGCATGGATCTAATGGGAAGGAAACATTTTTACATGCATACAGAATCTGTGCCAAATCCTGATAGTGAAAACAACCCAAAAGTTAAGAACGGGAAATGCAAAAAAAAAATCAACTCAGCTGATCTCTCAGATGAGGTCATTAAGCTGTTGCATATCTCTTTGGCACTTTTTTTTAAATAAAGTTTTTTTTTTT